TATATATATATATATATATATATATATATATATATATATATATATATATATATGTGTGTGTGTGTGTGTGTGTGTGTGTGTGTGTGTGTGTATGTACATAAATATATATGTATATGTATATGTATACATGCACAAACACAGGTAGGTAGATAGATAAATATATAAATCAATTAATATATACATATACATATATGTGTGTATGTGTGTGTGTGTGTGTGTATACACATATATATATATATATGTGTGTGTGTGTGTGTGTGTGTATGTGTGTGTGTGTGTGTGTGTATGAATATAAACAACACAGAATTTTATAAATGTATCCTCATATATGTATATATATATATACATATGCACACGCACATACAACACAGATATACATACATACATACATACATACACACACACACAAACACACACACACACACACGCACACACACACACACAAACACAAACAAGCAGAAACACACACACACACACACACACACACACACACACACACACACACACACACACACACACGCACGCACACACGCACACACTCACACACACACACACAAACAAACAAAGACAAACAAACACAAACACATTCACACACACACACACTCACACATATATACACGGAAGTGGGTGGCCGGGAAATCAAGATCCATCCATCTCCCCCCCCCCTTTCTCTGCCTAGCACGTACGATATAAGAAAAAAATGTAGAAATGCTACGTGATGACGAATACAAGTCTCACGCGTTCATTTTCATATCAAAGTAATATTTTGTGGAAAGGAATGTTAGTCCTACCGAGTTTAGTCTTATAGTTAAAACGTCGAGCCTCTGACAGGAAGGGGAAAACTACATTTTTTTCTATTGACACACTGTTAATATTCCTCGGCTATTTATAGTATTTAGTTAGGGATAAAACAAACGAACACTTTAATAATCAGTATAGCCTCAACAGCTGAATCGTTGAATATACAGTGCATAATTAATGACCAATCTATGATAAGGGTTATGGCTCAACTCGAAGCACGTTCAAGGGAGGAAAGGCTCGCACGCTGTCGTCCAAGAACTGAAGTATGTCTTACGAAGATTTGACACGAGTACATGCGTCATTTAAATTGTTTTGTTTTTTTTACCGCACTCTTGCCAAGTGTCGATGTAATACGCACGTATGTTTATGTTTATAATATATATACATATGCATATACATATATAAATATATATATATATATATATATATATATATATATATATATATATATATATATATATATATTTATATTTATACATTCATACGTATATATACATACATACTTACATATATATATATATATATATATATATATATATATATATATATATATATATATATATATATATATATATATGCATATATATATATATATATATATATATATATATATATATATATATATATATATATATATGTATATATATATATATATATATATATATATATATATATATATATATATATATATATATGTATATATATATATATATATATATATGTATATATATATATATATATATATATATATATATATATATATATATATATATATAAATGACTGCCGCGATGGTCCAGTGGTTAGAGCACCATCGTGGTCCCGAGTTCAATTCCCAGTCACGGCGGTCGCAAGACTGCCTGCGCTCTGACTGCTCGCTAGAGCCCGAGAAAACGACTTATCGCCTTGAGAAGTCAATCACAGGTGTCGTAGGGGAAGTCGCCGCAGTGGCACAGATGTTAGCGCGCCGAACCGCGGTTGATTAGGAAAGGCATCCAATCAGGCAAGGGTGACACTGCCATATAATGTGGAATGTGGAATGAATGGCTATTAATATATATATATATATATATATATATATATATATATATATATATATATATATATATATATATATATATATATATATATATATATATATATATATATATATATATATATATATATATATATATGTATATATACATATATATATATATATATATATATATATATATATATATATGTATATATATATATATATATATATATATATATATATATATATATATATATGTATATATATATATATATATATGTATATATGTATATATATATATATATATATATATATATATATATATATATATATACATTTATATATACACATACACACACACACATATATAGATTTATGTGTGTGTGTGGGTGTGTCTGCGTGTGTATATATCTGTGTGTGTATATATATATATCTGTGTGTGTGTGTGTGTCTGTATGTGTGTGTGTGTGTGTGTGTGCGTGTGTGTGCGTGTATATATACAAATATATATACGTATATATACATATATGTGGACATGTATATATATATATATATATATATATATATATATACTGCCGCGATAGCTCAGTGGTTAGAGCACTGGACTCCGACCCTCGTGGTCCCGAGTTCAATTCCCCGTCGCGGCAGTTGTAAAAAATGCCTACGCTCTGACTGCCACCTCG